GATACAAACCAAATTGATACAAAATCGCAAAACATACTTACAAACATTACAAAATTGTCCGACAAACATAACAAAACAGCCGTCGTCGGAAAATCCTCTCTGCCGCCGGAAAATTCGGCGATAACAAAAAAAATCCTCTCTCTCTCGCAAAGGGGAAGGAAGAATTAATTTCCTCGGGAAGAAAGAACGGCGCCTGAATTCATTTTCCGCTGCTGGGAGGATTCCGCTGCTAGTAGGATTCCCGGAAAAATTCTCGTCGGGAGCTGGGCACGAGGGAGGAAGGATAATTTTTTTTTGTTTGTTTTAATTGCTAAATAAATAAATTAGTTAATTACTACATTGTCCTTCGTCAAATTAGATTAATTATAGTCATTAGATTGTAATGAGGTGGAAGGGGTGAGATTCACGCGTGAATCCCTTCTAAACATACCTAAATAATGTACAAACCTATATGTAGTTGACCCATACTACACGACCAAATTTGCTCGATTCTCAAAAAAATTGAAAAGTTGTCATCTCTATCTATATTTGGGGGTCGTTTTGATAATGAATTTATAAAATTAGACGATTTGACTCAATTGTCTCGCAATTATCTCATCTCAAAATTGTCTAACAAAAACACATCATTTCACAATACTTACCTCTCCTCGTCAATTCAACATGATGCAAAATGAGACAATTTATATTGCCTCGTCTCAATAGTTGCATCCTCATTTTGTGTTGCCAAACAAGACTATCTAACCGAATTATTTTATTTTGAACCAAATTGTCTCATAGAATTTCATCATCAAAACATCCCTAGGAAAACATTCCATGGCTCGTAGAAAACTAGGCTGAAGAAGTTAAAAAGAAAGAGCCTCGGAGTAGGGAGTAGATCGAGTTCAGTGATACCTTCTAACAGAACTTGTTCTTCTTTTTTAATTGGAACGCGCAAACCAAATCAAGAAAACAACAACACAACCTTCCAAAATCCATCCGCCTCCCAATTTAATTCAAGTCGCTGACGCTCGACTTCCCTTAACCAATTTCGTGGGTCGGTCGGGTGGGTTGGCGCCCAAAGTCAAAGCAAGTCTGGCACCAAAAACCAATGTCAAATTTGGTCCCTTTAGTTCAGCCCAAACCCGAACACATTTACTCTTCAATCTGCCTCTGCCGTCAGCAACAGCTATACCCAAACCAAACGATTGGATTCCATGAAACTGTAGAACAGATCAGGATAGGATGGATACCACGCATGGAGCCAGCCGGCAAAACATTTATTATTGCCCATGTGCAGATATGCTATTGTATATTTTGTTGTTATTTACAAGGTAATATCTATTTTTTATTAAAAAAATTTGAAATTCTTTTAAAATGTCCAAACATATTATGCTATTAATTTGTCAAATGTTAACTTTCAGTTAGAAATTTTGTTAGTAATATTGACTTGGCAACATGATATTATCTAGGAAGAGACATATGAAGGTCTATATTACAAAAATTTAGTATTTTTACTAAGAAAATAGTTACAAAATTTGTAACGATAATGTAAAAATGACTAATCTTTTGATGCATTACGAAAGATTTGACTAATTAATAACATTTTAATAGGTAAAAATGACTAATATTTTGATGCATTACGAAAGATTTGACTAATTAATAACATTTTAATAGGTTTGGATAATATAAAAGAATCTGGAAAAAAAAAGTTTGGATAAGAAATAGACATTACTCTTATTTATGTGAGGGTTATAATATACGTGCGGACTTTTATCGTATTCGGGATAAATTTAGATATATATCTTAATTGACTTTATTTTTTTGAAAAATTCTTAATTGACTTGAATCTTTTTTTTTTTATAAGGGTGATATAGGTTTCTTTTTTGTGATTAAGGTACTACTTAAGAGATTCAAACCTGGGACCTCCAGGTTCTAGGCTTGTGGTATTACCACTAGACCAAGCCTTTGTTCGTTAAATTGACTTGAATCTTAGATATGATACTATATTCTAATCCTGAAAAACTAAATTCTAGCCAAAGGTAACATAGCCTAGTGGTGAAACCACTGGATCTGGATGTGGGAGATCCTGAATTCGATTCCCAGTGGTGCCACTTGAGCGCTCCCGGCGGCACCTTGGTACCGGAGGCGAAGCCTCCCCGATGTTGGTAGCAGAAAACCCCAATTAGTATTCAAGTACCCCAATGGTTTAGTAGGCCCCACTGTCGCTCAAGTCTCAAGCGGCACGTGGGACAGAGGTTCCTGTCTTATAAAAAAACTAAATTTTAGGTCTTAATTTCCCAAAATTTGGGAGTTGTGCAATCAAAATCTATTTGCGGACTTTGTAATTTTCATCAATCGTTTATTTGCTAGTAGTTTATTACTAATTCTCGTTTCCCCAGTTGTCTACTTGACCGGCGAAAACTTAACAGAAGAGGAGAGAGGCCAGGAGTGAAGGACCTCACCGCATCATACCTGATCGAATTAAATAATTTGACCGTTGCCAGAATGCTTTCTTTTTCATTTATTAAAGAACGAGGGGACTTTCTACCAAAAAAAAAAAAAAAGAACGAAGGGACAGGGACAGGGACGGTGGAAGGGAAGATCTGCACGAGTGATTAAATTTAGTGGCGGTGGAAGGGTAGCGTTGCTTTTGTTTAAAGCTTTTGGCTGGATATGTGAGCCGGCCGCTAGATCAGCGGTAGGAACGGGTTCAATGTCTGAATAGTGACTGGTCACCACTAATGGTTACTAAATTTTAATGCGTGACAAAGCGGTGGTAATTGATATTACCATTTGTAACCGAAAAAACAAAGTGCTTACGCCACTTAACTCCACAAGAAATTAAATTATATACATAATTCAAAAAAATTTCAATAATAAAATATCAAACTAGTACAAATTATAACAAACTATAGCAATGTTACGATGAATTATTTTAATATATCATACTAGACATAATTAAAAAACGCCATCATAATCTATTCGACTCAACAACTTGTTCTTGTTGTAACACAAAACTATAAAAAAAATCTCTTTCAACAATTGCAATAGATAATAAATTCACTTTGTCTTTACTATTAATCGAGCTAATTCATACATTCCTTTTAATGTAAGGAATCTAGTATCGTTCAATTCAATACAACGAGAATAACTGTTGTGGATATGTTCATGTATACCATGTTTCTTGCAACACAAGTCACATAAAGAAATCAAGACTCATCAAAACATGCATAGACACAGTAAGAGCCAATAAAATTCACTATTTATTTTTAAGGAATTTAGTTCCCCTCTACGGTACCCAAGGTTAATGGAACTATTCCTCACAGGATAGAGCGGACGTACCTTTTCTGGTGTACCAGTACTTGAAATCACAGAAACCAGCGAACGCAACGAACGGCGAGAAGTCACATGACTATGTTTACTTTTATCTGTTTGTAGAGAAGAAAATGAAATGAAAAAGAAAACTATTTTCTTTCTTTCGGTTGAAAACCTTTTAGGAAAAATTCCCGTATGAAAACAGAGAGTGTTGGTGCTATTTATAGAAAATGAAGGGGTGTGTGTGAAGGGATGTGACCCTTCGGGTGGGTGGTTACATCCCAACCAACACATTGGTTCATTTTAAAATAATGTACCATTGCATCGGCTCGGCCCATGATAGTAGGATCGGTTGGACTCCAACAGTCACATCGTTTCGGTTCAATAAATTTGGTCTGGTTGGTTACACAAACCAATTTGACTAATTACCAAAAGATTTAATCAAAACAATTGATTGAATCCAAGGCCTCCTTCCTATATATAACCAATATGGTATTTCAAGAGTTTCTCTTGGCTGTTTCTTTTTCATTCTCATTCACACCACTAAAAATCTCAACAATAACTTTTTAAAAGGTCTAGGTTACTGACTCGCTATGACACAACTCCTAACAAAGGCCAAGTGTAACCAATGAAAGGGACTGCAGTATAGTGACTCAAGTGATAAATATCGAATCCATGGGTCTCTAGAGTTACTATTACTCAGCTTCATTTTATTATTTAGCAAACCAGATTAAGATGAAAGAACTAAAACTACTCTAGCAAACTACAGTTAAAGTTAATCTAATTACAGGTTGGGAACTTACTTAGGTATGATTCCCCCTAGCCACTAGCCAGATTAACAATTGATAATTTCTAACTTGTTTCACTTTCATTCACAATGCGGAGAATCCTTGACTAGACCTTAAGTCTCGACCAAAGGAACAAGGCCCTCTTGAGTCAATTGCCTAGAGGGATTTATCCTTCTCTAGAACAACCGATCAAGGCATTCTGAACTAGATTCCCTCTATCGAATGAGGTTCTCAATTGATACAAAGCAGTGAACCAACCCTCGACTAAAGCAATCGATTCAATATTATCAATCTATGGTGCTCTATTGACCTAATCAAGTATTCGCTCTCATAGGATCAAAGCAGAATCAATAATCTCGACTAAAGCAGAATTGAATGATGAAAACGTGCATAGATTGAATATGAACTCAATATTATCAAGTAGGAGTACTCATACAATCATCCTATCAAACAAACATAGCTAGGGTTCCTCAAAACCTAAGTGAAGGGAAGTTACTCCATAGAGAAGAGAGAGACTGCAGTAAGAATCTTCAGATGATCAGTCTTCAAGTCCGGGCTTGTTCCTCGAGCTTTCAAAGCGAAGAAATCCTCCAATTCCACTCTTAGAATGCCCTCAAATCGCCTCTCTCTCTCTCTCTCTTTGGTTCGTCCATTGGGTGTTTGGTATCCTAAACCCAGCTCTCCCTTGCAAAAACACACAAAACAGGCTTTTAACATCCTGCGTTCGCGATCCCCGGTCAGAATCCCATGTCGGGTATTTTTGGTCACGGCCGGGGATTTTTGGTTCACACCGGGGATTTTTGAAAACGCAATGTCTGGAGACAGGGGAAAATCCCCTGTCAATGCCAAAAATCCCCTACCGGGGATTTTAGTGTCACGATAGGGCCCCCTTCTGTTTCTCAGAGAAGCCCGAAACCAATTTTCCCCTATCTTTGATTCTTCGTTTCTCCCTCGTTCGGACTCCAAATCAGGTGTCGTTTGATCCCAGATGCTCGTAGTCTCGTCCTCTTTCTTCTCATGACAAGATTACATGATTATATGGTCACAAACTGAGGTATAAATCCATTCTTCTTCAAGTCATACCCGAGTTTCTTCCTCCGAGTCGCCAATTGATCTCCGATTGACTTGAAACTTGCGCCTACGCTTCACTTTATGTGCTAGGACCTGAAATATGACAAAGGAACAAAACCTAGCGTAAAATAGGCCAAAGAAGCGATAATGCAAGCTTAAACGATCAAGAAACAAAGGGGGAAACATGTGCAAATATCGAGTCATCAAATCCCCCCTCACTTAACCGTTTGTTTGTCCCCAAGCAAACCTAACTCAAACCAATGCAGCTCTCCAGACCTCTATAGCAACCAACAACCCCGATCGTCGATAGAGGATTTTCTAGATCATATAGCAGCTTACGAGGTCAACTGGTCTTCTAAGACGTTCCCTATCTCTCTCAATGCGAGTACTAGACTCAAGCCAGGATCATGAGAAGCAGTGGAAGTAAGACAGTCAGTTCATGGATAAAGGGACTCATACAATTCACAACCAAGGACTCGTTGTACCGGGGTGCTCTTTCACTTCATTTCACCGTTGGAACCCCTTTTTCACTTTCACTTTAGATCTTTTTTTTTTTCATTCACTTAGCGGTGGTTCCAACTGCAGTCTTTTGCACGGTCGACCCTTATTAGTCGAGAAAGAGCAATTTCTGTACACCTGGCGCTCGCCAGAGCACTTCTTTTAACTCCTTTACTACAACTTGTGTGGAGGGTCAATGAAATTAAGGGGGGTCGGAAGCTCTATCCGTGCCCTTAAAAACACATCCTCAAGTAGGAAAACTGTTCAACGGGTGGAAGTTTTACTTGTACTAGAGACAGCTTAGCTTCACCTTGTAGGAGTACCCCACTAAAGATCACTAAAATCTCCTCCAAAACCCGATTTTGTGCAATGAACGGTGCCACACACGTTGGGCTTACCCCATGTTTAAGATTTCAATGATTTCGACATGGAGGACCACTTGCATTTCATTTTTCACACGAGCACCATGTTCGATACACGAGTCCATAACACAATCCAAATAGAGTCACCATTACCACATGAATTCAACGGTCTTAGCTCCACTAATTCACAAAATCAACTGGCACAGCAGAGAGCTAGATAGGTAAAATCTTATACTTCAACATCCTCCATAGTGCTACACTACCTCCCTAGGTTGCACATTACTATAGAGACTGTCAATTCAAAGCATACTGAGCAGGCAATTTGCAAGGAAACACGTACTTGGAGCCCTCAAATTTAAAAATTTGGATAGTGGACTAGGATCCAAGCACACAAACAGCCAAACATTCACCCGCATACATAATCGAACATCCCCCCACACTTAAGCACGACATTTTCCTCAATGGAGGAAAGATAAGGAGGGTAGAACGAAGTTACCAAATCCAGGGTGAATGATGGTGGACGGGGCAAGCGGTGTATTCCTGGAGGAGAGAGTGGTCAGAACACAAACACCACACAGAATCTCACAAAGGTTGAGTTATTGACTCTAAAATCAAATAACAAAACTGACTCAACCGAGGAGAAATAGAGAAAGAAATGCAAACCGACTGGTTGGGTTGCCTCCCAACAAGCGCTTCTTTCACGTACTGAGCCGGACGATGGCTTCTAAGTTTCGGTCCACCCCAGAACCTCTTTGAAGTTGAGGTTCTCGTCAATGAGGTGGAGTCTCAAGTTACGAGCATGTGGTGTGGCAGGTGATGAAGGCTCATGCACTTGATGCAGATGAAGTCTCCACCCTCGAGACCTCTTCTTCTCTCCTCTCGTCTCATTGCCCCAAACTGGATATGACAGCATCGATTTACCACCATCGCGTCCACCAAGAGGGACCAATGTTGATGTGGCGTTGGTCTGGCAAAGAGACACTGCAAATGGGTCCTTGCTAAGCAGTTCCTCGAAGACTGGTAAAGATATCACATGTAACTCATGGCCGGTGCAGGCCTCTTCCACCTTAACTCTGTCCTCAGCCTGGACGCCAATTGCTTCTTCAACCTCCCTTTCTTCTTCATGTGGTATCACCCCTGGGAAATGATCAAGAACTCCTTCTGCTTCACTTTCGTCATCCTCCAAAACTTCTTTCTGCACCCTTTCTCGCTCTTCTTCTTCTAGCACGAATTGGAGAGCAAGCTGCCAAGAAATTTCTTTCATGAGATCTTCTTGCATCTCCTCACTCATGCCCGCCTCTTCAAAGCTCAGTTTGGGATGTGGGAAGGTGTGGTCGGCTATGACAGGACATTCCTGATCATGATCATCACGGGAGCTCTCCGTGACAACTTTAGTGTGCTCTACAATGTCCTTGTAGCCTTCTTCTTCCTCCTCCTCTTCTAGTATGGTAGCAGAAGGGTGATCGGGAGCAGGTTGTGCACAAGATCGCTCAAGATCATCAACGCTCTTCTTAAGGCTCAGGAGGATCTCCTCTGTTTCACGATATGCCTGGACATAATGATCCATCCTTGAGCATGTTCTCTCACTGTCTCGAGCAAACTGTTCCATGAGAAGCCTCATTTCATAGTTTGGATCTGGCTGTGGAGTGTAGCATGGCTCTGCAGAATGGCTCGTGAAGGCCGCCATGGGTAACTCCAGCGCTGATGGCCCTTCTGGTTGTGGGAGAAATTCTTCTTGGTAATGAGGTTGTTCTTGATATGCCCAGGGGTCCGATTGTTCTCCGTAGTAAGGGGGTTGGTACTAGAACCCAAATCCATAGTCTTCTCCTCCTTGATTGCTCCAGGGAGTCTCGGGGTAATACCACTTGGGTGGTGGTGGTGGATACCCCCAATTGTTGGAGAAGCCATGAGGATCCATGATTCATATCTGCACCAACAAAAACAAAAACACCCAAGTGAAAATCAAGGGTGGAAAAGAAAAGAAAAGAAACGAAAAGATAAGAAAAGAAAAAAGCTAAAGTAACAAACTTCTGCCTTTCCTAATACTCTAGAAAGTCCCCGGCAACGGCGCCAAAAACTTGACTCGCTATGACACAACTCCTAACAAAGGCCAAGTGTAACCATTGAAAGGGACTGCAGTATAGTGGCTCAAGTGATAAATATCGAATCCACGGGTCTCTAGAGTTACTATTACTCAGCTTCAGTTTATTATTTAGCAAACCAGATTAAGATGAAAGAACCAAAACTACTCTAGCAAACTACAGTTAAAGTTAATCTAATTACAGGTTGGGAACTCACTTCGGTATGATTCCCCCTAGCCACTAGCCAGATTAACGATTGATAATTTCTAGCTTGTTTCACTTTCATTCACAATGCGGAGAATCCTTGACTAGACTTTGAGTCTCGACTAATGGAACAAGGCCCTCTTGAGTCAATTGCCTAGAGGGACGTATCCTTCTCTAGAACAACCGATCAAGGCATTCTGAACTAGATTCCCTCTATCGAATGAGGTTCTCAATCGATACAAAGCAGTGAACCAACCCTCGACTAAAGCAATTGATCCAATACTATCAATCTATGGTGCTCTATTGACATAATCAAGTATTCGCTCTCATAGGATCAAAGCAAAATCAATAATCTCGACTAAAGCAGAATTGAATCATGAAAACGTGCATAGATTGAATATGAACTCAAGATTATCAAGTAGGATTACTCATACAATCATCCTATCAAACAAACATAGCTAGGGTTCCTCAAAACCTAAGTGAAGGGAAGTTACTCCATAGAGAAGAGAGAGACTGCAGTAAGAATCTTTAGATGATCAGTCTTCAAGTCCGGGCTTGTTCCTCGAGCTTTCAAGGCAAAGAAATCCTCCAATTCCACTCTTAGAATGCCCTCAAATCACCCTCTCTCTCTTTGATTCGTCCCTTGGGTGTTTGGGATCCAAAACCCAGCTCTCCCTTGCAAAAACGCACAAAACAGGCTTTTAACAGCCTGCGTTCGTGATCCCCGGTCAGAATCCCCTGTCGGGGATTTTTTGTCACGACCGGGGATTTTTGGTTCACGACCGGGGATTTTTGAAAACGCAACGTCTGCAGACAGGGGAAAATCCCCTGTCACGGCCAAAAATCCCCTACCGGGGATTTTAGTGTCACGATAGGGCCCCCTTCTGTTTCTCAGAGAAGCCCGAAACCAATTTTCCCCTATCTTTGATTCTTCGTTTCTCCCTCGTTCGGACTCCAAATCAGGTGTCGTTTGATCCCAGTTACTCGTAGTCTCGTCCTCTTTCTTCTCATGACAAGATTACATGATTATATAGTCACAAACAGAGATAGAAATCCATTCTTCTTCAAGTCATACCCGAGTTTCTTCCCCCGAGTCGCCAATTGATCTCCGATTGACTTGAAACTTGCGCCTACGCTTCACTTTATGTGCTAGGACCTTAAATGTGACAAAGTAACACAACCTAGCGTAAAATAGGCCAAAGAAGCGATAATCCAGGCTTAAACGATCAAGAAACAAAGGGGGAAACATGTGCAAATATCGAGTCATCAGTTACCAGATTGAAATGAGACCTGATGAAACTAAAGAATAAAAAGAAGAACGAGGGAGTCGTCCCGTATTGAGAAGGTGAGGCTGGTTCTTGCATGGCCAAGGGTTGAGTCAATGATGCACACATATCAAATGGCCAAAGCCCCTTTTCGGTGGCGTGCCAATCCTTTGTGGAATGGCTCAGCTTCAACACTGACAAAAATGCACCGAATTAGGTATGGAGTAAGGGGTGGAAAACGGTTGCAGATTTGCGGTTAGATCACAACTGCATAATATAAGTACGATAAGCTACTAAATGCTAAATTTTTAAAGGAGGGTCTTTTACTGTTGTGGTTTGTAGAAATTATCATTTTGCAATTAAAGGATTAACTACTAACTATAGTGAATAAAAAGTGATTCAAATAACTAACCGCAGTAAAACATCAATCAACAGCAAGCTCTAGCCCAATTACCTACCCAGCCGACCTAGTGCTAACGCCAGTCCACCAATGAGGCATGAGTTACCCAACTCGGCCCTTCCGGCCTCCAAAGCTCCAAACCAAGGTTGTCAACCCATAGGTTGACCCGGGTTAACCCGGACCTGCCCTTGAAAACGCGTTAGAACTACCCATTTGAGAGTTAGCCCGGAAATGGTCAAACCGGGAAAACCCGGGAAAACCTGGGCGGTTGGCCCGTCCGAGCGAGTCAACGGGTTGCTCATTCCGAAGTGTCATTGAATTTTTACTATGTTGAATTTAAGATGATGTTATTTAAGTGTGTTGGAGTTTAAATAGTGTTGTATTTTTTATGTTGGATTCAAGATAATTACAATATAATGGCTTTTTATATTTTTGGGCTGAACTGGGCTAAACCGGGTGACCCATTAACCCTTGACCCACTAGCTCGTCCGAGTCCGGATCGACCCGCGGGTTGACAACCTTGCTCCAAACGATATCACGACTACTACTTCTAGCCTTCGTCCTCCTCGGTCCTCAAGAGCAATTTAAAAAGACGAAGTCGACTTAGGGGTCGTTTGCTTCATGGATTTGAAAATGAAGGTTTGTCAACCCGGTTTGTTGACAAACCGATATCACGACTACCACTTCTAGCCTTCGTCCTCCTCGGTCCTCAAGAGCAATTTTAAAAACCCAAGGATTTGTTAGAGATTTGTTGTATTATGGATTTGGGAAGAGTCCATTGTTTGCTTAGTTGATTTGATCATGGATTTATGGGTTATGGATTTATATATTTAAGATGTATATTACCTTACTACCCTTCTTCATGTTAGATTTATATAACTTTACTTGTGTTTCTAATATTATTCTTGTGGTCATATTGTTAATTTATGCTTTTAAATTGACATTTTATAGCAAGCTCGTAACATTAGTAGCCACGAGATATTAAAATGTGTAGATAATCACAATATATAGTTGTAATCTTACAATTCTTGGCTAAAATTTGTTTGTTAGAATTACTATTTTAACAACAAATGTAGTTTGTAGCTAAAGGGTATTACTTGCCATCTAAATCAAAATTTGAATCAAAATAATCATACGTTTATCGCAAAATAAATGTGTGTCTAAGACCTTCACAAATAGACATGAGGAATAAATTATGTATTCATTAGCATGTTATTAGCTTATGGCATAGATTATGTAGTCATTAGCATGTTATTAGCTACAATATTACCTTTTATGGCTAAGTTTGTAGCTATAAGAGGCAATTGTAGTAGTGCAAAGAATAACTAATGACGGGTAAAGTTGAAATAAATAAATTATAAAGGGATATATAAGTCATTTTTCATGAAGGATTTGTTTCCTTCTTCAAATCCCAAGTAAATAGGTGGGATTTACAAATTCGTGGGGCCCACGGATTTGGAGCCCCAAATCAATGGTCCCCACGGATTTGGTACCCTCCATTTTGGCTCAACAAACAATGGCTTTGGACAAATCCTTCATGTGTTGGATTTAACATCCAAATCCATGAAGCAAACAACCCCTTAGTTTCACTACTGAGGTTAATTCCAAATAATTGCTAGCTAATCGTGATTTGCTATTAGAGGTTAACCGACAACTGTTTACGTTGCAGTTACTGTTGGCAAAATTTTCTTTTTGGTTGCGATTAATTGCATTATTCAGGGCGATTGACCGAAATCACATTGTGTTTTCACCCCCTAATATGGGGTGATTATTTGGTTACTAAAGGCAAGATATAACGAGTTAATTATTATTTGTTTAAAGTTTTAGAGCTGAGTTACCACAGTAACCATCATAGTTCGGCGATCATTTCACTATTCAACCGAAGGAAAGCTGGATCTACGACAAAGTTGTGATACAATCAATCTTCAAAACTTGACTTTTCTATATCCTCTACTTCCTTCTCTTGTTAAGTCCTCCAATAACAGCACGTGTCCGTTATCCGACTTTTTGGACCGATCCTTTCTTGATTACTAGTTAATCTCCAGAATTGGAAGTGCTAATGGGGAAGGTTAAAACGTTGGAACTCTATAACCCACTTCACCAACCAAGCTCCTTTAACATTTCAGGTTGAACCAGCATGATCCATCAGTACAATACTCAGTAATCTTAATAGTTGTATTTACATTCACAAAAGAAATATTACGTAGGACATGACAATAAAAGAATAACCCTTACAAAACAGATATAACTAATGCTCATAATCTTCAAGCCCAGGTAATAACTAAGTAATTAGTATCGTATAACCAATCAACCAAAGGGATTAGAAGAAGAGAGAAAAAAAAAAAAAAGAATGATCAGTGAGGAGAAGGTGATGACGTAACCGACTGTCGTTCCAAAGCCAGAGCATCCGTCGATTTCCCGTTCACAAACATCGGCAGCTCGTCGTCTCTCTTCCTTGTCACGCGTATGTAACAGAAGACCGCCATACACACGGCGGTGAGAAGGCCGCCGATTATAACTCCCCCGCCGGCCACCGACTTGTCAATGTGCTTCTTCCTCTGCCCCTCGCCCTCCCCTGCCCCTGCACCTTCCCCTATTTCTCCGACCGTCGGCTCTGTCGCCGGCGGATCGGAAGTAGGCTTGGGGAGATGGCTTGTTTCCTTGCTGGGTTCGGCCGCGGTGGCGGATTGAGCCGCCGCGATAGAGGTCAGAGCGAAGAGAAGAATGAGAAGAAGCTTTAGAGACATGGTGAAAGAACACAGAAGAAGAAGACGAATTGATTAGAGAAGGATCTTGTTTGGTTTGGTTTTTTTTTTTCTTCCTATTTTTTAGGTGGAGCAGAGGAAACGGAAGTGAAGTGCGAAAGGGATGAAGATCTTGTGACAGTGGGTGATTAGTTATATATAGAGAAGGGAGGTGAGGGAGAAACAGAGGCTACTGTTACTGTTGGATACTTGGAAACGAGAGAATGGATCTTCAAATTCTTCTTTTCTATTGTTTAGTATTTTCTGATTCAGTTTGGTTTTGTAATATTAAAAGCGGCGAGCGTGTGGGGCGCTTGGGCTTTGTGTTGAGTTGGGTTAGCAGAGGGGAGGCCTGGAGGGGGAGAAGAAGAGGACCGAAGTTCGTGCCATTAAATGCATCATCTACTGTACCAAAAGAAAAAATGCAGCATTTACTTCTTTCATTCTTTTGGAGCACCGAAAGCTGGCAGACCCGGTTGGTTATTGTTTTACAACAAATTAAAAGATCTAATTCGTTTCCTCTAGATATTAGAGTGTGTTTATAATAAGTGTGTTTATGATTTCAACAAATCTAAGCCTTGTGGTAAGGACGGTTCATACTCTTTGGAAATTGTGTGTGCTGGAGATTGAGGGCTGGTTTGGTTGTCAAGTTCTGAAAGTGAGAGAACTGCTATTGATTTGCACGCTATAAAAAATCTGAAAAGTTTTATGCAACATTCCAAACCTTTTTTTAATGAAGATATTGTCGGTTCGGGCTTCGACTTTCGCCGTTTTTCAATTTGGTTACCCATCCTTGTTGTACTCCACACTGAGCACCTTTATCTTCGGAGTTCTCACAAGAACTTCTCCATTTCATCCAAAACGCATCTTGTCAGTTAAGATCGGTTTCTTACTTAGGAACTATGGATCTCTCCCGTGCTTTGTCGATGTGGGATTCGCCTAAGGTGTTACATACACCCCCCTTTGGGAATCAACGTCCTCGTTGAGATTTGCCCCACCATCGTTCAAGAGGGACGCAGAGAGGCTCTGATACCACTTGTAATATCCCGAACCTTTACCCCGACGATGATATTGTCCGCTTTAACCACTTGTAACATCCAGAAACTTTTCCCGAGCAAAATATTGTCCACTTTGGGCCTAGACCCTCACGACTTACGACTTGGGGGTGCAATCCAATGTGACTTCCCATAATGTCACCCATCCTTATTGTACTCCACACAGAGCATATTTAACTTCGGAGTTCTCAAAGAACTCCCCCATTTCACCCCAAAACGCGTCTTGTCAGTTAAGGTCGGTTTCTTACTTATGAACCATGGATCTCTCCCATGCTTTGTCGATGTGGGATTCGCCTAAGGTGTTACATACACCCCCTTTGGGACTCAACGTCCTCGTTGAGGTTTGCCCCACCATCGTTCAAGAAGGACGCGGAGAGGCTTTGATACCATTTGTAACATCCCGAACCTTTTCCTGGCGAAGATATTGTCCGCTTCGAGCCTCGACCCTCGCGGTTTTCAACTTGGGGTGCAATTCAAGGTGACTTCCAATAAGGTCACCCATCCTTATTGTACTCCACACTGAGCACGTTTAACTTCGGAGTTCTCACAAGAACTCCTCCACTTCAACCCAAAACGCGTCTTGTCAGTTAAGACCGGTTTCTTACTTATGAACCATGGATCTCTCACATGCTTTGTCGATGTGGGATTTGCCTAAGGTGTACATGTCATATGGAAGCCAAAATTCCAAAATTCGCAATGGGTTCAATAATGTGAGAGTTGATAGTGTGAAGTTTGGTTAAAGTTTCAATTTCCCCCTTTTCTCTAAAGTTTGCATTTTGCAATCCACGTCACCTTTACAAGTTTGCCAATAACGAAAAAATACATATAAATTAAATGAAAATTTTCAATCCTTCAATTCTCTTTCTCAATCCTCAAATGGTATATTCCAATACAAACAAATTTTTGTTGAATTCAAAATGTTTTGAGTACAAAGCATGAGTATCCTCAAAATCGGTTGTCAAAACCTCTAACCTCGCGTTCTAACTATCACTACTAGTAGCCTGCCAGCCTGCAACTTTCCCAACTTACCTCTCATTCGTGCCTACTTCTTCTCTTATTTCAACAATAAAAAAAAACATTATACATGAGCACAATACAACAACAGAAGCATGACAACGACAACAATAGCAACAACACATCACATTAACACAACCACAACAACACAACACAAAACATCAATAAAAAGCCATCTACCCCTCGAACCTCTCAATCGCAGGCTTGTAAATACCTACGACCTTGCAACTCTCCATCCAATACTCTTGATTAGCTCCATTGCTGTTGTCATCACTCATTGATAGTGCAAATCTCAGGGCTTGCATAAACATTCACAATTTGGGTTCAACCCCCAACTTCTTATAAGTAGTCACAGCTTGGGTATTTTTTAGGGGTGGGCAAAGGGATGGTACGGGATACCCGTCCCGTTTTAAACGGGTACCCAGTCCCATTTGGAGACCAAAGTCCATCCCAAACCCATATGGGAAACAGGTACCCATTACCCGTACGGGACGGATAACGGGTACCCATACTACCCATAAATACCGAAAGTTTAAATCACATTTTACCTAAAGACAATTAGTCAATTACATCCAAAGCATTCATTTCAAAACACAAAATGGTTCCACAAGTAGCAACTTACACCAATTCCTACAACCCAAAGAAGGGATGATGATGAAGATGAAAATGAATCAAGGAAGGGGAAATAGTAATTGAATCATGTGATTGCGGCTGGTGCTGCTCCCCAGTTATGAATGAATTCTTATCCTTTTGTGTTGGAAAAGTAAAGACAAGCCTGATTTGCAACCGTGTTAACAGGTTTTACTTGCTCCAAGAGGACTAGGACATGTCAGGAATTACAGTCGCTTTGTTGTGCCACGTAATATTTACTTTAAGCTTACCCCTTTTGTTGGTGGTTGTTTTTTGTGGATGCTGAATGTAAGGGTTTTTTTACTGTTACAGGTTCTACAGTTAGTCTGACGCCCATATTACTTGCTCCAAGAGAAGATGAATTATATGTCTTTGTAATTTGAATGGGTACAACGGGTACCCATATTACCCAAATGGGTATTCGCGGGTAACCCGCGGGTACCCATATTAGGACTATACAATCCCAAGTCCCATCCGTTTAAAATATTACGGGTAATATGGGTACCCATAACCCTTAAAAAACGGGACGGGTACAGGTATACCCAAATACCCGTTTCCCGTTGCCCACCCCTAGTATTTTTGGAAGGCTTAATCAATATGAATCTTGCATGTGCATAAATCATGTTCACAATACTCCTTCACCAAACAATAATTATATATTTGGTTGCATGTCTGCCTTCAAATTATAGCTTAATGTCCACGAAGAATGCTTAACTGTGGACATGATTTGCGCGGAACTACCGTATATATTTACTCATGAATCAATTTTTGGCGTATGTTGAAAGAATGTGCCATTGTTGAATTCTTCAACAATTGAGGCTACCCATGAATCAATTCTCAATCAAGGTGGATATGAGGGCATATGTGAAATTGTGGGATCTAAGAGTTCAAGCACAAAATCAGATTTCCAGTTTTCCTTTGCGTCGAGTTGAAATTTCCTTGAGGCATCGAGATCTGATTCCATGAGAAGACAACATGACTTGACGAGGTAGTCAAAGATAAATGAAGAAGAAGAAGAAGAAAAAGAAGTCGTCACTATTGAATAAAATTGCATGGAATCAGGAGGAACAAGATCACTTGAGAAAGGTAGAAAGGAGAGGAAAGAGGGAGAGATATATCCCGAATAAAAAGAGGAAATGTGGAAATTTCAATTCCAAAGGGGTGGGTGACGTATTTTCAATTTCCATGAAGAAGTGATTATGTGCTTCGTAGCTTCCCTAGACAATAAGATATGTGTATCCCGAAGGAAATCCAATACCATTCAAAAATTAGCCTCACATAACCACGATAGTCTTGACCAACATCACACCTCGTCACGTTCTCTCTACATCAACTATTTGTTTTACTTCACTTTTTCTTCATTAAACAATTTAAGGTCGATATCCATTATTATTAGATTGATTTGGGAGTATGAATCGTTGATTTCACTTTCAAATCAATTTTGCAACTAATTGCTAAATTTTGGATCATCATTGGATGTTATTGGTCATGGCTATTGTATATCAAATTACTTCTTCTATAATCCTTACTTGATGACTTTGAATGTGTACTTAACGATCTTATGCTTGAATTGGAGTACTACTAGTTGATTGTGAAATTGCCAATCTTTATTCATTTTAAATGGAAACCTTAGGTCCCTATTATTGGCAAACAAAATTTTTCCAATTAACAATAGATTACAACTCCTTCCTCTTCGCGACTCCGCACCCACCCTCCAACATCCCATAATGTGATCAATCACTATTAAACTAGAGACCTCAAGCCCAAAACCTTTATCTTCACTTTCCCGTCAACATTACTTTATATTCCACCGACACCTCGCCAAACACCGTAAGACCCCCTTATGGTGAGCAACAAGGATTGAATGGTACAATTCTCTTATTTGAACTAGACATGGAGCTTGGTTCCTACATCCAAGGAGTTGCATGTCAACTACTACAAGTGGATTTTTTGCATCAAAACCAAGTCATATGGATTCATGAAGCATGCTTGGTAGATCACAGATTTTAGCAACACCCATGTCTTGATTTAAGGGAACCTTCAGCCTGTTCCTCTAACAAAAAATTCTCGACCGACCATGTCCCTTGCAATATCTCAAAGTTGGCTAGTGCACCAATTGGACAATGCCAAATATTTTCTTCGTGGTAATATGAATGAAGATTTTTTTTCATGAAATACCCCCCCCCCCCAATTTGTCAATCTAGATCAGCCTTCTCATATTTGTCATCTCTAAGAAGTCTCTTATGCCCTAAAGTAGGCTCCACGGCCTAGTGTTACGGTCTTTGCCTCTTTGGCTCAATGTGTTTATCTATGTTGATGTTATTTTGATAACCGAAATTGAAGCTCCTCTGTTGCAAGCTTGCCTTTTTTACTTGTGTGATGCTTTTAGGTTTGTTGTTTGGGGCACTTGTCCTATTTCTTGGCATAGAGGTAATTTGGTCACCCAAAGGCAGGGATGGAAATAGAACTCGAATGTGCGGGTACCCTACCCATCCCAACCCAGTCAACGTGGGTAAAACCTGCTTTGAAGGATTGTGGGTCGGGTTCGGGTTTAAACCTGCTATACTTTTTGCGGGTTGGGTTTGGGTTTAGCCATATCCAACCCGTGGATACCCGCACCCAAGTCAATACCCCTCATGACCCACGAAACCTTAACTAATTAACTATAATTTCCAAATTAATTCCTCACATGTTTGATTAATCATATCGTTTAAGGATGTTTATGTTTAATATTGAACAATTAATATGAATGATTTGTGAGTTAGTGTGTATGTAGTAGACAATAGTACTGAAAACTAGTGTAATTGCATCTTTGT